ACCACTAGAAGCTCCACATGTGGCGACGGTCCCATTCAGGAAGAGTACTTTTGGTCACTCATCATTCTCGGTCAGAGCAATACAAAACTGGAACTCTCTACCCACTCAAATCAAAGACATACATTCACATACCACCTTCACAGCTCACTTCAAAACATGGTTCACTGAGAACTACACCTGCACACACTAGTCTGTGTTGAGTATGGCGCGTGTGTTACATGTTGTGTTACATGTTGTGATCATGGATGCTGCCCCTTATGTGATTGTGATGTGCTATCTGTGACATGTACTGTATGCAGTAACGTGTTGTTTATTGTTCTCTTTAATCCTCTCTTATCCGTTCGCCTGTATCTACTTGTCTTTCATCCTTTTTATTTTATTTTATATTTTTTTATAACTAATGCTGTTGATGTCTCTTACCATCCGGCCGGGGACAACAGCTGGAAATTGTCGACTAAAGCTGCTCCATTTACTGTTTTTGTGACAGTTCATCGATGGGACTGTCCACGACACTATAAACAAATAAATAAATAAACTAAACTAATAATCATAGATTCTAGATGTTTCTATATGCGAGCACTTCAACAAATTAGGTTTGCATCTAACAATAGTTTTCCTTATCAATCAATCTGCCGATGGTTTTCAAGGATTAATCGCTTGGTTTAAGATATCAGAAAATAGTCAAATAATGTCTTCTTTTAAATAAGAAACTTCTCTCTCTCTTTTCGAGGCCTAAAACAGCCATTTAGCACGAATAATTAACTCATGACTCATCATAGCAGATGTAAGGCCACATTTTAGTATCGTCTCAAAACTCATATTAAGATTTGATCTGATTATTCTCCCCTTGATTGTGTATCTTCCTCTTTTGATTCATCAACCCATTTGTGTCTCTATATTGTGTGGTTCTGAACAGATGGCCCTGCCTCTCCTTTCACTCGCCCTCTGTGTGTGGTTATCAGGGTTGTGGTCAGGGTGGTGCAGGCAGTGGGAGGTGTAGTATCTGTCGTAGTGAGTCAGGTTTGTAAGAGGAGGACAGTGGCTCTGCAGTGTGTGTGTGACGCTGCATCCCAGATACACCCGTCAGTGTGAACACGCTGAGAGCAGGCGCAGCCTTGGTAACCGGGTGTAGGCGTCTGCTGCCGCTCCTCCCACTCACTCATGGGTAATGCCCTGCCTGGAAGGGGGTACTGTTATGGAAAAGAGCCATCAATTCAGCTACACCCCTCCCTCGCCTCCTCTCCTTCTCTAGTGGCCTCCCTTTATTATAATCTCATTCTTTTATAGTCTGGTTTCCCAAGGCAACGCATGAGGCCATGTTGCTAAATGTGTATGTGTGTATGTGAACAAGAAAAGCCCAAACAAGGCCGGCCTCGCTGCCAGAGCCTGATTGGTGCTCAAAGGTCATACTTCTGATGGAGCAGCACGAATCAATCCCTTTCCAAAGTGGTACAATCAGGAAGTCAGACACTAAATCCTGGCGGGGTATTCTCCCAAGCCAGATAATGAAGCTGATATCACAACAGAGGCTAGTAACTCATAAGGTTAACTTAGGTAAATAGAGATTAAAGTAGATCACTTTACCTTTTATATGCTTATACTTACAGTTTCAGTGTAATCATTTGCAACTACGTTTAAATTACATACGTTTTCTTTTGTATTATAATCCCCTTATTTTAACTTGAATTATTTATATTTAGATTCTAGATCTATTACTTTTCTTTGTGATTATTTATTAAGTGATTAGTTTAAAAACACTTATTAATAATTCTATATAGAGTGCCACAGTGACGCGTCCTGAAACCCGGAAGTAAGCTGCTTCAAAAACCAATGCAATTTCTCCATAGGATGTTGGAAAATAGCTGGAAATAAGGTCTGTGGTTGAGACACATTTAAGAGACGGATCACGTTTTGTTCAGCCGGATAATATCCACATGTCTACACTACTTTTACAATTTTATAATCATAAATCTAGTCGCCAGAAGCAAAATGCTAACGTAATGCCATAAAGGAACTACAGCAGGGTCGCTGCTTCAACGTCACGCCAACTTAAGATCCATATTCAAAAATACAGATTCAAAATTTTACAAGTTGAAGCTTTTGTTTTAACAGTTTGCACGAGGCAGGTATTTGCTTTCAAGCAGAACACGGGGGGAAAACAAACTTAGCGGAGTTTTAACGTGTTCGGTGTAATGACGTAAAGCGGCCTTGACAGCTTCTGTAGTCCTATTCAGCCACTTGGTAACAACCATCGTTTTTCAGACACGTCAACTCTTCAGAAATCTCCAGTGGGGTCACTGCTGATGTATTTAATGTCGCAGAACAAAACGTGATCCATCTCTTCAATGTGTTTCAACCACAGACCTTATTTCCAGCTATTTTCCAAAATCATATGGAGAAATCCCATTGCTTTTTGTCGAAGGAACCGGAAGTGGTAAAATGCTAACTTACTTCCGGGTTTTAGGACGTGTCACTGTGGCACTCTGTTGAGATTGATGTTTTATTTTGACTAACATTTTTTTCCTTTTTATACTTTTCTTTCGGACTTTCTTTGTTAGATGTTCGGTCTGCAAACATACACAAGAAAATTATAAAAACATGATAAAGATAAGAAAAATATGTATTTAAAAAAAAAAAAAGTGTCACGGCAGATAGTAGTTATTATTATGTAATATGCTCTGTTGGAAGGAGCCTGTGACACTTACTGCTAAGAACTGCTCTCTGTTTGTTTGTTGTGCATAAGATAAATAAAGAAGCTGAAACTGAGATCTTATTAATAGCTTCTGTCTAGGAGAGCGTAATAAATGATTCACTCCCATCGGTCTCCTCCTCCGGGGTTTAAAGTGCTGTTAAATCAGACCGCTTGTGTATCGTGTTTCTGTGGATCACATCTCCTCCCCCTCTGTCCTGCCAAGACGTGGCAGACCGTTAGGTGTGAAGCCACATTTCCACATTTCTGGCCGAGGAAGGAAAGGTCACTTTTCCTCTTTGGCTTCATCACAGGCTCAGGACTTAAAACTCAGACACTGTGAGGGCACTGTGAGGACACTGTGAGGGGACAGAGGGCATAACTTGGCTGCTGCAGTGAAGAGCTCCTGATGATTCCTGTATTTAGCACACTGCTGCGTCATCTGCACTCAAACATTTATTTTTGAATCTGCGTCACTCTGCAGGCTGTGACTAACATGAGGGTCATCTTTTGATTGTGTATTAAAGATGAAGACATGTTGTCATTTACAGTAGGGCCTCTTTGTTGTTGTTGTTGTTAAGTGATTATAGTCTTTTTAAATGCATTCAGTCACCTTTTATTGAATCATCATAATAACTTTCCACACTACTTTTTAAACTCAGCGACCTCATTCTCCGTACTTTACTTTAAAACTTTAAACGTTCAATGCTTCCTCTTTTAAAACTACACAGCTATTCCAATTTAGATTCTAAACCGACGTGGCAATAAACCTGATTCAGATTTTAATAATGCTTGTTTTTGAAGTCAGTCTCTTTGCAGGGTGTCCGCGGGGTCTTAAAAAGTATTAAAAGTTGATCAATCAATTTAGTAGCTTGTTTTCAATAAGTATATCAATTGTCCAAAGAGGTTGTATTCTACCCCTATTCTCCTACTACGCCGGTTGTTAAACAACATCGTTATGGGGAAATGCAAGTCTGCGTCCAAATGGTTGGAAGATAAGGAGGAAGGACAATCAATACTGTATATAGTCAATGTGAGGTAAAGTGTGTCGCCAAGGTAACCGGTTAAAACTCAAAGTGGCGATGAGGTCTAAAAATGTATGGAAAGGGTCTTAAAAAAGGTCTTGAAAGGTCTTACATGCTTTCTTATGTGCTAAATCNGTTAGTTAGTTACGCAAACAAGTCCATTTAGCAACTGCTATACTGATCTGTACAAGCTGTGGTTCACACAATAAAGTCATTTCAGCATCTTCAATCATTCATTCTCAAGTACTGTCGGTTTCCAAACACAAGAATTTGGTATTTTTGTACAAGTTAGACACAAAGAACAGAACATATATCAAATATATTAACTAATATTATTATATTTAATGCCTCTTAGCATATTATGGTAGACTGGTAGATTAGGATGGGAACTTATTTATTTTTGTATGTACATAAGGGACTTTTATGACCTTACATGACATTCTACACGACTTGGAAAAAAAAAAAACAATTATTTAAATACGTTTGTTAGTTTGAAACTATAAAAAGCTCACTGAATAATTCGTATCTTGGTAGAGCTTCATTTCTGATATTGGAATGAACAAAATATATCTAAGGACAGCGAATCGCATATTGGTAAACATGACTTTACAGCAGCGTTTCCGCCAGGGGGGCGCCTTGCCGTCATTTGACCCCTCGAATTATTAGAAAAAATTCTAATAATTCGAGAGAAGATCAAGTTTATATTGCTTGAAATGACGAAAAGGAAAAAGGACAAGGACATCCCTCTGTTGGAGGGGCAAAGGAGTCTGGTGGGATTATTTTCGCCGCCAGCAAAGCGTGTTCCTGTGACGGAAAGTGTACTGCCGGCGAGCCTTGACGGGGGGTGCTAGTGGAGCACGCGCGTGAACTGCGAAATCCCATCACTAACACGTAAAGAGATAGTATCTATAAGGGACGGCTCAATTCAAAATTCAAGTCACGTGACACGATGTGATGTGACGTCACACCCCACCCCCCCGCTCTCGGGTTGGACGCCCTCTCAGCCCTGGTCTGGTGGAAACACTGCTTTACAGTACGTTTACCAGATAAGGAAATGACAATAAACATCAAGTAATTTTTCTTCCAATTCATTCCATTTAATTCCCAAGCCTCAGTTTCTCCTTCGAGGATACAAGGACTACTTTATTATCATTCTGCAACACAAGGTTGAACAACAGACACTATCAACAGAAACCAAATGAAACAAAAAGTGCATTCCTGTGGTGCAATGTATTGGGATATGCCAACCAGGAGGAACTCGCACCAGTGTGTTTTCAAAAGGTTAAATGTGGAAAGATAAGAAGGCTCTGTCTCTTCGTACCTTTATGAAGCCGTATCCCGCTCCGTTGGTCAGTGATGGTGAGGCCCAGAGCATCTTCAGATTCATGGACCTCCACCTCCTTCTGATCCCGTTTAATGTGGGCGAAGATGAAGTCCTCGAACCGATCTGGGCCCCCCAGAAAGCTTGTCCATGTCGAATCTTGTGAGTGTTGAGGGTGGCAGAACATGACTCTTGGGAAACACCACAGACAGGAAGCAGGCAGATTTAGCACATAATGAAAGCATGTAAGACCCTTTCAAGACCTTTTTTAAGACCCTTTTCCACTTTTAAGACCTCATCGCCACTTTGAGTTTTACACGGTTCCTTGGCGACACACTTTACCTCACATGACTATATACAGATTGATTGTCCTCCTCTTACTTCCAATCCATTTGGACGCAGGATACTTGCATTTCCCCATAACATGTTGTTTAACAACCGGCGTAGTAGGAGAATAGGGTAGAATACAACCTCTTTGGACAAGTTGATACCTGTATATAGTCAACTGGAGGTAAAGGTGGTGTCGCCAAGAGTAACCTGTTAAACTCAAAAGTGGCGATGAGGTCTTAAAATGTATGGAAAGGTCTTAAAAAAGGTCTTGCCATTGAAAGTTTACATGCTTCTTAGTGCTAAATCTGCCTGCTTCCTGTCTGTGTGTTTTTCCAGACATGTTCCTGCACCCTCAACACTCACAAGATCGACATGGACAAGCTTCTGGGGGGCCATATCGCGGGTCTCGAGATTCATCTTCGCCACATTAAAGGATCAAGAAGACGGTTGGAGCTCCATAAATCTGAAGATGCTCTGGCCTCACCATCACTGACAGGAGCGGATACGCTTTCATAAAGGTACGAAGAGACAGAGCTTCTTATCCTTTCACATTTAACCTTTTGAAACACACTGGTGTCGAGTTCCTCCTGGGGGTGCATATCCCAAGCATGCCACCACCGAATGCACCTTTTGTTCATTTGGTTTCTGTTGATAGTGTTCTTGTTGTTCAACCTTGTGTTGCAGAATGATAATAAAGTAGTCCTTGTATCCTCGAAGGAGAAACTGAGGCTTGGGAATTAAATGGAATGAATTGGAAGAAAAATTACTTGATGTTTATTGTCATTTCCTTATCTGGTAAACGTACTGTAAAGCAGTGTTTCCACCAGACCAGGGCTGAGAGGGCGTCCAACCCGAGAGCGGGGGGGTGGGGTGTGACGTCACATCACATCGTGTCACGTGACTTGAATTTTGAATTGAGCCGTCCCTTATAGATACTATCTCTTTACGTGTTAGTGATGGGATTTCGCAGTTCACGCGCGTGCTCCACTAGCACCCCCCGTCAAGGCTCGCCGGCAGTACACTTTCCGTCACAGGAACACGCTTTGCTGGCGGCGAAAATAATCCCACCAGACTCCTTTGCCCCTCCAACAGAGGGATGTCCTTGTCCTTTTTCCTTTTCGTCATTTCAAGCAATATAAACTTGATCTTCTCTCGAATTATTAGAATTTTTTCTAATAATTCGAGGGGTCAAATGACGGCAAGGCGCCCCCCTGGCGGAAACGCTGCTGTAAAGTCATGTTTACCAATATGCGATTCGCTGTCCTTAGATATATTTTGTTCATTCCAATATCAGAAATGAAGCTCTACCAAGATACGAATTATTCAGTGAGCTTTTTATAGTTTCAAACTAACAAACGTATTTAAATAATTGTTTTTTTTTTTTCCAAGTCGTGTAGAATGTCATGTAAGGTCATAAAAGTCCCTTATGTACATACAAAAATAAATAAGTTCCCATCCTAATCTACCAGTCTACCATAATATGCTAAGAGGCATTAAATATAATAATATTAGTTAATATATTTGATATATGTTCTGTTCTTTGTGTCTAACTTGTACAAAAATACCAAATTCTTGTGTTTGGAAACCGACAGTACTTGAGAATGAATGATTGAAGATGCTGAAATGACTTTATTGTGTGAACCACAGCTTGTACAGATCAGTATAGCAGTTGCTAAATGGACTTGTTTGCGTAACTAACTAACTCATATTTAAGGTCACTTCACACACTTGCTCTCATAGTGGAAGTCCTAATTCAGCTCAGTGTTTCTGCTCTGTAGATGCGAACCGGTCTAATGAGCTTATTTAGTCTGAGACCTCTTACTCACAATAACTGTGCTCACATGTGCCATCATGTGATGCCCAACAGCACTGCAGCTGACGGTGTTTATGTCACAGTCGAGCCTTAGTCGGTGTTTAATGCTGTTGTAGCGACTTTAAAGTAGGGCTGCCACTAATAATCATCTATATTGATATATTATATTTTTATAATACATTATTCTGCAGATAATTGTCTAGATGAATCAGTAAAATGTTGGAAAAGGCAGTGAATTTTGAGTTTAATATGACATCAAATATTGACATTTCCAGTGCATGGCTGAAAACATCATGTCTTTATGAGGACTTATTCACGTGGTTCATCTGATATCTAATAAAATAGTAAGCTATTGTAAATGTGTCGATCGACGAATGAATTAGTTCATATGTGTTTCAGCTCTGCTTAAAATTCAGTGACAAACTTTTTCAGATATATTCAAATGTAACATATTGCAGTGTGTGAAATAGAACTACTTTATATTTATATTTTAACACAACTTAATCTTCACTTCTTTGGATCGAAAAAAGACTCTTTACAACACGAATAGCCTTTTTGATCTTTTAGTGGTTTTACATCAGTTATGCAACGCAATGAAAGGGCAGATACAGTAGACTTGAGGAAGTATTGCAGGAGTATACACACTGTTGTCTGCCTCTGTATTTTTATCTTGGACCAACCTTTATTTTTGTGTGTGGCGCCTGTTAAATGTGTGACATGATTTTGCTGGCTTTTAATTTCCCCTGACTTGATGTGTATTGCAGCGTATCAAAGATGGCAGCGTGGTGGACGCGGTGAAGGTGATTAATGTGGGCGACCACGTACAGTGTATAAACGGACATAACATCGTGGGGACGCGGCATTATGAGGTCGCCCGCATGCTTAAAGAGCTGCCCAAAGACAAGATGTTCACACTGAAACTGGTGGAGCCCATGAAGGCCTTTGGTGAGTCAGAGGCGCCGTACAGAAACATATCAGCATTCACACACCTTCAGGGTTTACTCACTAAACTTATCCAGGAGGGAGCTCGTGCTGCAGAGTTTCTCAGCATGTCCGCAAGAAATCATGAGTCATTATAATATGATTTGCATAAAAAAAAAAAACATTGGAATGCTTATCTATGCTTCAAGAAGGTCAAATGATACCTTGGCGACTGCACTGCTTTTCTTTCAGGGCTAAAAAATATCTTACAGAAACCATAACTGGTCATTTTTATAATGTTCATGTGTGGTTATAAGGAGCTGAAGACATCAGTGTGTTGCTGCTTAGGTTCAGCAGCATGACATTTTGAGATACCGGGTGTTTCTCAATGTCGAGGACGCTTCCTTGGTAGGACATGTCCCTCCGAGTCAGGTCCTTCAGAAGCGAGGCAAGAATCCTACCTAGCCTCGGAAAACGAAGCATTGTGGAACAGGCACACAGTATTGTGGAGATTTTAAGACCGCGGAGGACACACATGTGCAGCCTCGAAATGTCCCGCAACCAAGGACGCCAGGCTCGGTAGAATGCTGGACATTGGAACAGTCCTTCGGCGGGACTCGATGACGTAGCATCCTTGAAATGGTGGCTCTGGAGCAGCTTTCCTCGACATTGAGAAACACCCACTGTCTTTCCTCCTGAAGACTTTTCTTTTTTCCTTTGCCTTTTATTAAATCAAATCAAAGCACTGTCACTTATTTTATAGTTTTTGTACCTCTCTTATTCTGTTTTAGTTTTAATTCGTATTGTCTTGGAATTTAATATCAGTTTTTATTGTGTCTAAATGTAATATTATAAAGTGTTTCTTTGGCACTATGTCCCAAAGCACTTTGAATTGCGTTGTTGTTGAAATGTGCTATATAAATAAACGTGCCTTCTGATTGACAGAAATGCTTGAGCCCAGGTCAAAAGGGGCCAAACCTGCCAGCGAGAGCAAGATCGGCACGGGGAGGGGGACCCTGAGACTCCGCTCCAAGGGCCCAGCCACTGTAGAGGAGGAGGTGAGCTTATTTAGGGAATCTCACTGAGACCTGGGTGTTTTGGAGTTCCTCTACTGGGAAACATAACTTTTCTCACTTTACACATGCAACTGTTGAAATGATTATAAAGAATACTTGGAAGTTGTCTTTTCTTGCTCATGATATCATCGTAAAGGCTCTCTCTGTTGAAGATACACACAAACAAACAAAAGATGTTACTCATCCTGCAGTTTCTCCAAATCATCATGCACTATTTGTCAGCCTTCATCTGGAATAATAAATCACTGATCAGACTGATCTCCTTATTATGTACTGTCGTGCAAGATAACGGCAACATACTGCAGTAAAACCCTTGGATGAGAATGATTGAAACTGTGTTGTTTGTTTTGTCTTTTCTAGCCAACAGAATTTGAGGAGAAGGCGGTAAAGAAAGTGGACGACCTTCTGGAGAGCTACATGGGAATCAGAGACACTGAACTGGGTGAGTGAGAATATTCACAAATATCACGACGAGTATGTACGTAACTCTTCTGAGGAATGACAAGATGATTTGCTTGTACGGTTTTTCCAACTAAAGTAAAGCAATAACATTACCACCGCTATACTTATCTAGGGCTAATGGCTAATTCTGCCTAGCGTACTTGTTTGTATTCATTCAGTAATATTCATTTGGAGTTCAAATGTAAGATTCACTAGCTAAAACAGAGAAGGATTCTTTCAGAAGGTCAGGCCAACCTGTCATTAGACTGGGAATTATGAATGGTCTAATTCAGGGGTGTCGAACTCAAATACACAGTGGGCCAAAATAAAAAAATGGGTACTAGTCGAGGGCCGGACTGGTTCAATGTTTATTGCAAAACTTATTGAAATGAACTTATTGCACATATTAAACCTGGAACTAACAAAGCTTAAATGATTGCCTATAAAAAAAAAAACATTAAATAATCAGTTTCATCATTCATTTCTTATGGCTCTATCTGCAGTCATTTCTTATGATTACATTTTTCCACAGGCCAACAACAGCTTCAAAAAAACAATTTCCCTCAAAGAAAAAAACAAACAAACAGAAACCACACAAAGTGCAGAAGGAAACATCCATGTAAACTCAGTTTGCTGCTGTGATGCTAGTTCAAGCAGATACTTGGCATCTCATCTCGGGTGCAAGTTCATCAAGGTTTGGGCTCAGGCTCTGAGCTGAGGGAACCCTCAGGATTGAGAGTGAAGGTGTGCGTGCAATATACCGGCGGGCCAGTAATTCAAAATTATCCTGCGGGCCGAAATTAAACCCACCGGGGGCCTGATTTGACACATATCATACATCTTGTATCTAGCTAAGAGAAATCCTGACCATCGCTACAGTCATTCAGTAAAATGTTCTTCTTCTCTTCTCTCTCTCTGCAGCCGCTACGATGGTGGAGGTCGGCCGTGACAAGAATAACCCGGATGAATTCGCCATGGCGTTGGACGAGACCCTCGGAGACTTCGCCTTTCCCGATGAGTTTGTCTTTGACGTGTGGGGGGCCATCGGAGACGCCAAGCAGGAAAGATTTTAAACACGCTCCTGCCCCTCAAAACACACACACACACACTCTCTCTCTCTCTCTCTCTCTCTCTCTCTCTCTCTCTCTCACACACACACACACACACTCCCAAACTCACATCTAATATCCTCAGAATCAAACTGGACCAACTTCAACCTCCACAAACTGGAAGTGGATCAATCGTTGCTGCCATCACTTTGATCTTGAGTGTAGCTTTGCACTTTGGAGTCTTGAAGTGTCCGTAAAGTCAGTTTAGGTGAGGAATTAAACACGTAATGCTTTTTCAAACACTGGACCTGTTTCCTGGAGCCTGACGAGTTAGTGGTTAATTCCAGACGTTATGGTACCCCTCCCTCGAGAGACTCTTTAAAGCTCTTCTTCTTCTTGTGAGAGTAGCGAACAGCGGTCTATTACACTGGGTATGTGCACACCTTACATTTTCTAACAATACGTTTAAATCACACTTTATAGCTGTGTCATTTTGATTATACAGATGTCACACAGCTTTTTATAGATTTTTGTTTTATGTGAAAATGTTGCTGATTTTATAGCAGCGTTGTGTAATTAGTGTAATTATAGTGATTGTAGCAACTCCCCTTTTTATTTCCCTCCTTTCTTTTAAAATCTTTAAATGACCTCACGGTGGAGAAATGGATACATTCATTTTGATGATGTTTGTTTACTTTCTGATTTTCTCTGTGCCCTTACACACCGCAGGCCCTTCGTCAGTAGATTTAGCAATACACAGAACTGAGTTTTATTTTTTAATTAAACCTTTAGCCAAGTTTTGTGACACATTCCACCATCATTCCTTGTTTCTCATGTTGTTTGAGTCTGTTAGCGTGTCATGAAATTAGTCTTACTTTTAGATGCACCCTTATTTTTTTCCTGTAATTTATTTTTATCATGATAAATCCTAAGCTGTCATTTTTACACTGAGACATGGCTCAGTATGAAAGACAGTTCTTTCTTAAATAAGCCATTTTTAGGGCTGTGTCTGGAATGGGATCAATTGCAATCCAGTCTTAAATAAATGCAATCGCATTAATGAACCTGCACTATTTAATTCACTGTCAAACTGAATTGAAATAGTGACTTGATTAGTGTCATCTACTGTTAACTGTATGTAGCAGTTTCATATTGTTTGACAAACCATAAGGGATCACTGTTGTTGGATAGACAATAAAACTTGATATACTGTTATTACAGCTGTGTCATGAATGCATCACGCTCACACACCACTGAGTTCAACACACTTTATTTGCACACCAGGCTGTGTGCATGTATAAAATACATCAAGACACATTACCAATGTTTTCTTCCCTCATTCAAAGAATTGAACCAACAAACAAAAAACAGGTACCGAGTGGTGTCACTTCACGAGCAGCCAAACAAACCCGAACAGGAAAACAAAAAGTTTATAGATATAGCTAAAGTATACATTAATTGGCAGGTTTAAATGAATACGTAATAGACTGAGGATAACATAAATCAGAATTACTATGTTGTTGTGCATGGTAAACAACAACACATTATAATAAACGTACTGTCGAGGATATTTGGAAGCACATTACTGTAGATGTTAATATGTCAGATGAAATACTGTATAATTTGTTGGCTAAAAGCATAAATATTAAAAAAGTGGCAATACAAGGTGTTAGGAAAACTTCTATAAACTAAGACTCACATTTCATGGCCATATTGTGACAAACATGGAAATGTACCTAAAACTTGGCATTTTCCAGAGGTTTCCATTCAAAAACAGTATGCAAGTGAGAGGTAATGGCAGTTAACTTGGCTAGCGTGTGTTGGTGTTAGTCTACAGATACAGTTCATGGCATTAACAGTAGATGACGACAGGAAGTGTTGGAAAAAATACCGTACAGGACAAAAAGAAATACTCAAGCACCGATTTTAATGGTTGTCTTGGTTCAGTTCTGTATGGGGGGGGTTGGGGTGTAGCCCTTCAGCCCGACGTCCCTCTGACCTCCCCCCCTCACAGCTCGTCTCCGGTGTGACCCTGCTTGGAGGCGTCGCCCGTCAGCTTCTCCTGCGCCTCCTTCATACCGGACACCACTGAGTGGGGAAAACACACGTTAGGGCTGCACGAGTCGGACAGAAATAACTAGGTTTGATTATATGAACACATTTGCAATTTTGATTTGATTGCGATATTGTCCTGATATATGGGCGTTTTAACAATGTTGGTGTTGGTAACATGAAAGTTCAATTTTACTTTAAAAAATCTAAATGAACCCATTAATAGTCTGGATGTTTTACCATGTTCGGCGTTGCTGTAGAAGTACTTGTAGTTTGGATTTCCGTTCTTGTTGGTGATTTCAGGATGGACTTTGCCGCTGGGATCTGTGAGGAAAGAGAACATTAATATAAAAGGTTTGCAAAAGTTGAAATCCAAACAATATAAGGCTGCAACCAACCCATTTTTTTCTTCAATTAATCTGACTGTTATTTTCTTGATTGATGTATGAATTATTTGCTCAGATAATTGCTTTCCTAACAACTCTCCAAATACCAATTCATTTCAACAGAATGCCACATAAAAAGGTGATATATTGAACTACTTTACTAGGTTCAATCAAAGGTTGATGAAACACATTCAACTATTTGATTAGATGTTCCTGTGTCGTTGTATTCCTCTGTTGTCCAATATGCATTGCAGTTAATTTAAAAATACTTGATTAGAATCTTGCTTTCTCACTGAAAAATATAACCTCTACACACTAGGATAAGAAGATTCTACTGAAACGTTATCAGACACTGTGTGTTACTATAGACTAAACTATCCGTCTCTCTAATGGACGATTCGGACTCAACCGCCCCCGTACCGAGGAAAAGAATCCGAGGAATGTATCCTCCGTCTGGGCTGTAGGTTTCATCCTTTGGCTCCTCATCATCCTGCAAACACCAGACAACGGATCATTTACAAGACCTCATAATAAATACAGTATGTTAGTGTTGGCTAGTAGCGATCATAAAACACACAAGTGAATTTAAACCTGGTTCATTTAAATAAACTGTTTATTTACGTACCTCCAGGTTGATCATAACAAAGTTGTGTGCAAGTTCAGAGATTTCCTTGGACTCTGCAAATTTGGGCTTCAGTGCTGATGTAGAAGGAACAAAAAAACTGTTAATCATTATCTTATATTGCTATTAAAAAAAACAAAAGCCAACCTTAATAAAAATGTCCTGTTTGCCCACATTACAGACGATCATTATCCTGAGCTGACCGGATAACTAATGTTTAATCATCTGCACGCAGTGTGATACCGTTTGTTCTCTGTCTAAACAGTGGAAAAATTATCTCACATAAAATAAAGACTTTGAAAACTTTGCCTACGTTTCCCCTTTTTTCTGCTGTTTCTATAATGAAAAGGGAGAAACGCATCATTATAGTGTTTTACCTTTGCAGGCTCCACACCAGGTTTTGTGGATGATGAGCATGATAGGCAGTCCGCTGTCGATGCAAACATGAAAACATTTGTTACATTTTTATTCTTTACCTTCATTGCGTTTACATTTCAATAAAATAAACTTCAAGTACCTTCCACAATTGTATAATGAATATTCTTTACACATTATTTTGGTCTATTATAGTGTATTATTACTAATTCTGTATATTTTATAATGGATATACTCTATGAATATATATCTTTCTACTCTTGATATGCAAATATTTACTGTTTATTTAATTATATTTTTAACTTGTGCAATGCCATGTTCACATGCTGCCGTAACAAAACAATTCCGGATCAATAAAGTTTATTCGATCTTACCTTCATACCAAGAGTAAAAGATAGTAACTGACTTCAGTTGAGCCTGCAACTGCCTTAAATAATGATATATATACACTATAACAACTTTATTTTTCATTTTTTATGATATATACACTTTTAATCTTTGAATAAAACATTGAGTAAAAAATCCTGAAAATCTGCACCAGTAATTTGTGGAAATGTAGAAGTTGGGATTTCTTTAAAACTCGTTTAAAGCCTCAGGGCTAATGATTATACAGAAGGTGGCACAGCAGGTTTTAGGAAGTGTGTGTAATATCTCCCCTCTCAGTGTGTGTGTAATATCTCACCTCTCAGTGTGTGTGTAATATCTCACCTCTCAGTTCGTGTGTGTGTAATATCTCCCCTCTCAGTGTGTGTGTAATATCTCCCCTCTCAGTGTGTGTGTAATATCTCACCTCTCAGTGTGTGTGTAATATCTCACCTCTCAGTTCGTGTGTGTGTAATATCTCCCCTCTCAGTGTGTGTGTAATATCTCACCTCTCAGTTCGTGTGTGTGTAATATCTCCCCTCTCAGTTTGAACTCACCTGGCCTCAGCTTCTCTCTTCCCATCATCCAGCATCCTCCAGTGGATGTTATCTCCAAACCCTGCCGGGGGGGAAGTGGTTATGAGCACACATCCATTGTGTCTGGAACATTATATTTCTACAGCAGGGCGGGTCTGCCCTAAATACAATATCAACAGAAGGAGTTGTCGGGAAGCAAACCAATGGAGGTAATGGAATATGCTACGTTCAGTCAATAGCTCGTAGTTTTATATATTAGCATTTGGACAAATTATGCAATATACTGAATTAAGATTCCTCCTCATCTGCATGCAGCTGCAAGGCATGTGGCTGTGGTATTAAGTAACATTTCCTGGTAAAACTGCTGAAAATGTATGTGATTGTGAAAGTAATACTAAATTACACATATATACGTGAGAAACATATGATTTCCTTCATAGTATGAACTTTAAATGTTTGGTCAAGGCATGTGTGGGGTCATAATAATAGGAGACTATATATGGTGCTATATTTTAGATATTTAAATATAGTATCGGTTGTCTTTCCTGGTTTTATTGCATTACAGCAAAGTGATGCAATGTTCTGAATGTACAGGAAAAGCCTGTTTTAGCAGTTCTACTATTTGCCTTTATCCGCTCAGTCATTATATCTACATTATGATGGATATTGATCAAGGTGTAACTATTTGCAAAATAACTAATTGTCCAACCTTCAATACTGAAAGACAAGATATACAGTATGATTGTCTTTACATCAACCAGCATGAGGTATTATTATTTGTACAATGATTGACTGTTTTGAAATACTGAAAATAAAATATTATATCCTAAAAATAAAAAAGTATTTTCAAACCGTTTTTGCCAATTACATCTTGTATCACACTATGGATATATTTATTTTATTAAGAAAACATCTGTTTCCTATGGGACAAATAACGTTTTTTTCATCAGTATGGAATCACTGTTTACATTAAAAAGGGAATAATTTTTCTATACTGGGATTTTTGCAGTAAAAACATGTTGGTTTATCTGGAAAAAGATGAAATGAAGAGTTAATTTGTAGCTGAAAGAGCGCACCTTTATTAAAACACCTGTCCACCAGGACGCAGAGTTAGTGATCAAGGATGTTCATACAAAGACACACAGCCCTGGTAACTCTATCAATGACCAGAAATCCGCTTACACTCGCTTCACTTTGTGTGTTCACTCCAAAAATACCAACTCACCTTTCCCGCTGGCTGCTTGCACAACATCTTGAAAGCACGTCAAAGAAAACAAAACCTGCAGAGATGAAACTAAAGCGATTTTCACAAAAGACGTTTGCATTTTGACTGGCTTTTCCCCCTCACAACTGCGGCTAGTGGTTATAAGCTAATGGCAACAAGCTAATGGCACTGACTGTAGTGAACCAGTGACCCGGATATTCAACCACAGGATTTCACAATAAAAGTCTCTCGGATTAAGTTTCAAGCTTTTAATTTGTCCCTTAAAAGTCCGTTAATAGAGGAAAATGATGATACAATAATAATAACAATAATAATAATAATAATAATAATAATAATGTTAATTATATAATGTTCTTTAGTTGTAGTTCCTTAAAGTTATTTAAAACTAAACAAAACATTATCTTTGCAAAAAATGAAATCCCTGTAAATTGTTTTTATTTATTTATATCAGGTCTGACTATCAATGGAATGTAGAGTAGACAAGCATTTTTCTTCTTCCTGCTTCATTTCAGACATGAAAAGTTAATTGATGTTGCTTGCAGATAGAAAAAATGGGTTTATAACTAAATATGTTTATTTCAAAATAAAATATTTGAGGCGTGATAGACCCATCCGCAGCAGTGACATTAAACTGACGTCACATCCACAAAACCGCG